TTCTTCTTCTTCTTCTTCTTCTTCTTCTTCTTCTTCTTCTTCTTCTTCTTCTTTTTCTTCTTCTTCTTCTGATATATTATTGTTGTTATTGTTGCTGTTGCCTTTATCATTATTATCTTTTTTATTGTTATTATCAGTATTGTTGTTCTAGCTGTTGTGGTGATCATCGTTACTACGACTATTTTCCTATTATCATTGTTATATTTTGCAATTACCAGAACATGAATCAAGATTCTTCTGTTGTCGTTTATGGACCTTTTGACTTTTTAAAGCTGTTTTAGTGTTAATTAATCAATAGTGTTTGCCATTTTTCTTAGCAAAAGACAAAAATATCATTAGCTTTTCAGTAGAGTCATACAAAATTATACACACCCGTAATTTCGGTCTCATAATAGATTATTTGTATGTATGCACTTAAATTTGTGTATTATTTTTGTCCCGAGCTGCAGTTTGATTTGTGTGCCGGCCAAGGAGGTTATACCGTAAACGTCCTTGGTGCAGGCTCGTTGAACGGAACGTCTTCTTCATATATAATATATGACTGTTTGAACTGTGTTGTCATGAAGCGCAAGTTTTCACTTTGTTTCCTTTTCCTTCCTCTGTCGCACAACCCCACATCAGCCAAACAATACTATGCTTCTTGTTTCGTTCACTTGTTGATCTTGTTGGCAAAATATCCTGTTGTTCACAGTTCTTGGTACGTATTGGGCGTTTGTTTTGCATTGTTGTCGGTCATGGTGGCAACACGACCGCTGGACGGCAGCCGAACCGAACAGTGGGCTAAGATCTAGATCTAGTAGATCTACACTCCTACTCTTTTTGTCTTTGTCTTGTCTTACTCTGTCACGTCTTCTTCCCAATTTACGTAGAGTAGAGATCTAGATTCTAGATCTAGATCTAGGCCTTGCAGCTCAGAATCAATCTTGGCGGAAGAAGGGTGCTGCACAACCACAGACAACCGAACCGAACAGTGCGCTCTTTGGAAATTGCTTTCCCGTTTCATTGGCAGCCATTCTGAATCTGATATTTTGCCATGGAGTAAACGAAGACTAAACTAAGCATTGTGATTGTGTGTTTTTTAATTAATTTTTTTTTGTCAAGGGGGGAA